AATGGGAGTGGCAAAGCAGTGGCAGTTTGCACATAGAAATCTAGCCCGTTTTTGTCCCCACCATTGAAAACTGTTGGTCCTCGATGCTGCTCACTCCCTCGATGCAATCAGGGATTCAGCCTCCAAATACGGAATGACGCACGTCCTGGGCTTGCTCAGATTGCACAGCTCTCTCGGGATGCCTGCTTTACGACTCAAGCCAAAATCGTGCTCATCGAGTGTTGACTGTGAAGGTGCACACCTCGCTGAGCTTGACGAAAGCCTGGGAGGGGATCTCGTCAAAGATGGTGGTGGCGCAGATGGACAGCCTCTTGAGCTTCTCGATCGAGTCCAAAGCTTGGGGTAAGAAAGTATTGATCGATGAGTTCAATTCCTACATTCTGAAGGTCTGTCAACGTCGGCGGAGTTCTTCCGATCCCAGAAGTGTTGGCATTGGCTGTATCAAAGATGAACTCACACTCAGTCCAACTACGTGCCGAGACGAATCGCAAGTGATGAAGCTCCATAATCAGCAACCTGTGCCTGGAATAGTGATCTACAAGCGGACAGTTCACTGTGAATGCCATCTTCGATACTCGCTGAAAATGGTCTTCAGCGAACATCTCAGAAGAAAACTGGGGATCGAAAAGGGATCCCCAGTAATGCATGCAGTCAGCAAATCCTTACGAGCAGAGTTCCAAGAGCAAAATCCCCTCCCGACCGAGGCTCAGTACAGTCTCATCAATTGAACTATATCATCCACACGAGAAAGAACGTCGATCGACTGAACTTGTAGAACGCATTGTCTGTCTGTAAGAGAATGTGTCATCGTTTGCTAGCCAACTCTCACACTCTCACACGTTTACTCTCGATGGAAAGCAAGCTCATAATAACAGGAACAGATGGCACTCACACTGAGACGCATCTGATTTACCTTCACGCGATTAGGAGCAAATTCGCATCTAGCTGGCAGATGTCTGCATTGTTGCTGGAGAGATAATTAAGCCATAGATTTTGACCTGCTCTTAGAGGATACACGCATTTGAGGTGCAAAATTGATTGGACTGAATCAGCAAACACACCTCGAGCCATTCTTCAAACTGTACTCAAAGGTTGACATGCGACCATGCTTTAACTAATGTTCATTGAAAGAGAAGATATTCGTGGCGGAATTTGACCACTTTGAGTATTCATTCGTTTCGGATGTGGGCCGAACTACATTGGCGTGATTTCAGTAATGATTTTATGGATTACTTGGAAGCTTTGGCGGAGTTGAAGTACATTCAACTCAAAGAATAGTTTCACTATGTTTTCGATAGTTGAAAAATATTTCACAACATACATGTAAGCTACAATTGGAGTGTAATTCTGCAAGCATTTAGAATTACTTTCAATTGTGTGCATCCATTATAATATTTTTAATTTCTAGATTTATTGGATAATTTAACATTCCCTACGAGTGAGTCAATGAAATACCATCATAATCTCATCCAATTTCAAATTATTTGGAATATTTGTAATTTTTATAGCTAAAATAATAGAATGAACTTTGATTAAACTTGGATCTTTTGTTGAGAAGATTTCATAGAATGATTCAGCTTGCAAATTGCAAAATTTTTCCTTCAAAAGTAACATCAACCTTGCAGTTCTTGATTGCTTTCTGTATCACTTCATTTTGAGCATAATTTTCCACATCCATCAGTAGATTCGCAGTTTTCTTTCTTTTTTTCCTGGTATTTTATCCTAGCTCTTTACTCATGCTCATGATTTTCTTGTTTTTGTTAACATTACCCTGTAATTCCTAGAATAAACATTGAGTTCTTTACTTATTTCTTCAGTTTTCTCACAAAACCATATAATCAGATGTGCAAACTTATTTAATTAAATTTGAACAATATGAATTTTTCTCTGATTATCCTCTTTAACACTAATATGAGGAGATAAAAATTATGATAAAATATAGGTTTTGAGTTTTAAGTCGAACATGATAGCAAAGCTAAATCTATACATCAATAAAACATTCAGATTGATGTATATTAATCGATTTCCTTCATATACTGCTAAATTTTATCTCCACTTTGAAATGGAAGTGTCAAATGAATTAAAGTTAGAAATTTGAATCAATACAGTTGATCTTTCTCTGTTTGTTTAGATACATTACTTTCATAAATATTCTATCTTACCACAACTATAAAAATCATAGTGCTTCTACTATTTATTGGAATATGACTCAAAATGTCGAAGTGTTATTTTTAATTTAATTTTAAAATAAAGAGATATATTTTCAACACTAAAGTGTATATTTAACATTTCAATTTTGAAATATTTTAGTTTTTCCGATTTTGGGGAAATTCAATCTCTAACTAAAATATTTTCAACTTACAAAATTATAGCTTATTTTTATTTTAAAATTAATCTCATTCAAATAATTTTTTAATATTTTTTCTTAAAATATAAATAAAATTTTCATCAAAATAAATAAAAAATATTTAATATTCAGCTATTTTATTATCACAATGAAATAACATTTTAAGTATGTATCAAAATTTTTCGTTTGTGATTTAAGTAAAAATTAAGCTTTTGACAAAAATTATATATATATATATATATTATATATATTTAAAAAAAAGATTTGAATGTTATTAAAGATTATGTATTTTGACTTGCAATGTTAGTTTTTATGTTTCTGAATAAGTAACTCAATGTAATAAAGAATCATTTCGTATTCATTCAGAACTTTATCAATCAAACATATCATGATTTAAATTTTTTTTCCTATATTTCATTCCAAATGTTTGGAGTTGTTTTTTTATATCATAATATCGGTTCTACATATGATGAAAGCCAGCCAAATAATGCTGTTAGAATGATACGTACAAATCATGATATGAATGCCAAATGCATTCACATATGGATCAATGTGCATGTGAACATTTACAACATATGTTTAGATGTCGTCTGTATTTTGTCCTATTTTTACAAAGAAAGTGTATATATAGTGAAAATACAACTTTGTATGCATTATGTTCTGATTGAAATTATCTCTTGATGCGGAATTTTCTGCAATAGATAATGTTTTCAGCATTGGGGGATAAATAGATCTGTCACATTTTTCATATGGCCATGTATGCTCAATAGTGGGGTGTGTGTGTATATATATATATATATATATATGCAACTTTATTTTTAGAAATTTGTTCCTTCTTGTGTTTTCCAGTCTTCGTGTTATTATAGCTCTTAAATCTACTGATATCAGTATAGATCATCATATCAAATTAAGCTACTTGCCATACTACTAGACATAAGAATGATAGCAAGTAACCAAAAAGACGAATAAAAACTTTGAAAAAGCTCCTGCTAAGTTGAATGGAACCTAATAAGTCAACCATCCCTTGGTTAATTCATTGGTCACAAACACTAGAAGTAGTAAGTTGTGGATCCCAGTAAGCCCAGTAATCATGGAATCTAGACTTGTCCTAAAGGTCAAAAGAGCCGACGATTCATCTGAGGTCAGGGCTGGAGGGAGGACCCGTCACGGGTTTACAGTGGAGACCCTTTTACAGTCATCTGTCTACGAACTGCGTCATTCGGAATGACAGCGACTTGTGACCGAAGCCGCAGTCGGTGGATGCCCGCAAGACGTTGAACTGATACGTATATTGGCAAAACCTTCACTGCATCAGCCATCTAATGTACAATACTGAAATCGGAGTATCCGAAGTATGTACGGGTGTCGAGCAGCGCATCGTATTTACGGTCACTTATGCATTCCACAGGTCCATAAACGTGGTCACAATTATACAGCGAAATACACACCGTGGAGTCAGAGGCGGTAGACGAATCATGAGGAATGTCTGTCGAAGAAGAAGTCTTTTACGGGGAACATGATGATCCGAACTTCGACACGCTCTGTCTGGTCTGCAGCCCGGTTCAGAAATTCAGATCTGCTCTGCAGCAGCTCACGCTCACGCTCACCCGACATTTCGGGAAGCCAACCGACCGACAGGACTTGACAGAATCAGCTCCAGCTCTCGGTGAGGTCTTTGGGCTTCTTCTTCACCGAAACGGGATTCTGTACCGTATGTTAAGTGTAGCGAGAGTTGGGCAGTACCTGGGAAGTAGATGAGCTGCGAGGCAAAGAGAGTTTACGCCGAGCCAGATGTCACAGTCTGCTGTATCGATACTGGCAAAGCGTCCATAATCTGCCAATCATTACGACCTGTAATCCTCACACAAAATCCTGTTTCTGGCAAAGAAACTGGATGTACTTAACGCTTTTTAACAGCTTAAACTGTTGAAGCGTGCGTCACTGGCTCTTCTTACACAGTCTTACATCCAGAACATCACCAGTGAATGAATTATCGCCACCATGGACTGACTGACCGACCCGCGAGTCTCCGTCGACTCGCAGCCTCTGCATCTGGGTCACAACGTTGAGCTGGGCCTCTCATGCTCCCCGTGCACTGAAACCGTGTACATCCACACGCTCTCTTAAGTATACTCTACAGCAGTCGTGGACACATCACGCTGTACACCCTGTTATCCGGCAGACATCGGTACAGAGGAACGCAGACTAGAGAGGAGGAGACTGAAGCTGGAACGTTGATCGACTTCAGAGGCCATGTAGCTTCAGGTGCTCGAATTCCTGGAGCAAATATGCTAATACTGCCATTTACTGCGGCCCTTGTCGCTTGTGGTTTTATTTCGAACTGTTTCGTTCTAAGCCCCGTATCGATCAGAGCGAGCGTATGACTCTCTTAACCATGTACCACAGTCCCTGTCAAACGGTTAGGGAGAAACATGGGAGAATGTGAAGACCCAGCCGAGACCTTTGTCCCTGTCCCATGAACCCTTCAGAGTTCATGGGACAGGGACACACAGTGTATAATCAATGTCTTATCAGCAGGAAGCTGCATGGTGAGAGAGGCGCGCAGAGCGTAGATTAGTGATCATACAAATGCCCCGAAGACAGAATACACAGATTGGATTGGATATCTTAGTGTAGCGTCTAGACGAGGCAGTAGAATGAATTGAAGCTTTCATTATATGTATGAGATCCAGACCCAAGTAATCGAGGACACTTAGCAATTTGCGTGCCTGGCAGACAGATAGGTCTGCCCACAAATTCAGCTCAAAGGGACTGAAATCACCTCGCCAATCTAAACGCGAGAGCTAACCTGGCTGGTCATAAGTTTGGCTGTTTGTTGGAGCACAATTTGTCACTGACGCTCTAAGGTATGAGCCGAGCTGAAAGTTCTTCTCCTCTTTCTACTGCTAATGAAAGAATGAGTTACTACTAACCGAGAGGGTAACAGGGGAGAAAAGAAGCTCAGCTCGGCCCAGTCGTGTAGAAGAGGTTGCGACGATTCGGGCATATGAAACAAATGGGTTGTGCTTGTCTTCTTGGCTTTTATTCCAGAAGAGAGCACGCGTAAGGCGGGCTCCTTGCTGGCGACACATTAGCTCCACACTACTATAAACAAATTCAACTTCTGAAAGAATGGTGATGAGAACGTTGCTGACAAAGGCTGTGGAGGAGGTTAGTAGAGCAACGCCCACTTCTGTAATTGCAGAAAGAGGCAGAGGGTGCCAGCAGAACCAGGGAAGAACGGATGAGTGATTAGAATGTGGAGCACTGTACAGGTTCACCAGTGCCTTGATCGACAGCAACAACTTGGGTGCGCTCACACTGCATCACGTCTTGTCCCAACTTCGCCCCTGCAGCTTTCAATCCTTTCAAACTGGCCGCCTGGTTGAAAAGATTCAGGACGGGAAGCTTGGAAGCAGGAGGGAGTTTCTGGTTCGGCAAATGCTGCCAAAAATCTTCGTATATTAGAGGAACTTCGAAGTCCTCCCTCTTATGCTTAAGCACGTTATCCGTTGCGTTGATGTGTGCACCGGGTTCCAAATGATTTGTGGAGAAACTAGTTTGATTGGGGAAATTTGGGTACAGGGTGACGTAACCCCTCAAGTACATGACATCGATGAGGAATTTCTTCCAAGAGGCTTGCCACCCATTTGTCCTGGATCGAGGTATCTGCACTGGATTCTTTTTGGCATCTGCAGTGTAACGCATGCCCATGTATTTGTAGAACTCACGCCAGCGTTGAGGGAAAAAGAGAGAACCCCAACTGCAGGGAAGCTGGTGCAAGTAGGGCATATTCGGATGAGAGTATTTGAAGAACTCAGTGGCGTTCCAGACAGGTCTTTCCTTCACCACTTCGACCACCCTCGGAGTGTACAGAGCAATGGCGTTCAGTTCTGGAAGCGACACGGCTGGATCGTAGCGGTATACAAGAAGAGCATACTTCAGCCACATGTAAAAGAAGGGAGACACCTCGATGTCATCCTCTAAAAGTAACCCATAGTCGTCGTCGGACGTAGGGTACCAGCTCTCGCTCACTGCACGAATTAGACCACCCTGAATGATCCGCCTTCGTACAACCTTGTTCCCATAGGGCCACACGAAATTGTTGACCACGTTCAGTGTCTCCGAATCCACCTTGCTGTCCATGTTGAAAGAGAAGTCTATGGTGTCGCCGAGGAAGTGGGCAGTGGTAATGGAATTCAACAACCGTTGCAAAGAACGTGGCCGACTTTGAGTGATGATGTTGATGGAAATTTTCATCTTGTTCCAATCTGGAAGGTCATCAACATGATCTTCAGTAACAGGAAAGAAAAACTACAGATCCCAGTGGAAAACAACGATAATATTGTCTAGTCAGTTAGGGGAGAGGACGTCTCAACACTGTCAGCTGAAACACACCAACAACGCATTGTGCAGGGCAACGGAACGACATGGAATTTGAGCCCAGAAGTACGAAACAGATACAGACACTTTAACACAAGATGTGCTGTAATCTTACTTCTTAATGAGGCCGACTTGACGTCTGGAATCCAAAGTGCGTGCTTGATGGAGGCCCGAGGTAGCTGTACGAGAGTGGTGTTGCCCCGGGATGCAGCAACCTTCAGTGCGTCCCGAACCTTATCGTCCAGATCTGAGACAGTGAAGATCAGGGAAGGATTGTGGATTCTGATCAGGCCCTTCATTGAGGCAAAAATCTCTTGGATTATCGAAGATTCAGATGCTGCCTTGTGTATCGACCCCACCTCAAGATCGAATATCTTGAAGCGTCTCTCATGACAATTTGAAGGCGACCACCCCAACAAAACGGCTGCCTCCTCACAGGGACAGTGTGCTCCTCCAGTCACCACCACGTAGGCTTTCTTTCCTGGAGTAGCTCGAAAGCGCAATATCATGGGAGCCAGATCCGCTACCTCACTCAAGGAATGAGCATAAAAAAGCACATCACATTGTTGTGGATGCATTGCAGCCCACTGTGTCATATATCCACGACTAAGAGTCCTCCACCACTGTTCATCCCTTATCTTCACAATATTACTGTGAATGACAGTTGTCTCCGAGACTTGGGCAAGCCGATGCTCACTGTCGCCCCAAGTGTCCTTGTTGTTCGGATCAATCGGCACCACAAAGGACCCAGCATCTCTGTACTTCTGCAACTGATAACTGCACAGAGAAACCATATGAATGCCATCAGAATCCGCTGCTCGCCTCGTAAGGCATCATGGATTAAAAATAAACCAGATCAGACACGGATCAGATGGAAGTTTGTGTCGTGGACTCCAAACTCGACATGAGAAGGGCCCGGGATTTTTGAGATGCATAAAAATGGAATATCTAAATAAAACACGGATGCAAAATGTTGACAAAACTCCGTAACGGTGGACCCCACAGAAGCAGGAAAAGGAAAAACAAATATGCATCAAGGTCACGGTAGGGAGTTCTTGATATTCCTTCAATCCACTTCATGGAGTTCAGATCCTCAAAGATGTTTCCGACCAGAATGCCCGACTACAGAGATGGATCTACAGCCTCCAACCAGAAAGTTGCCAGGTACCAACCTCAGATGAAGGTCTTCTCCTGTCTGAAACGTGAAAGGAGTTTCGACGAACAATGTCTTAACCAGATCGGCTGATAAGAACCACGAGCTCGACAAGAAGTCCACCTGCACCATTCGATCGACGATAATGTTGTAAGCTGGATCTGGAATGTAGATTCCAGCTTCTCTGGACCCGGGCTTTCGGTAGCTGGGGAAACTGTAATCCTTCTGTCGGAACGGAAGAACTCGACCGATGCTCCCGAGCACAGCATTGTGATACTTTTCTGTACCGGCAACATGAGAGAGAATTTCCAGCATTTTCCTGCCTGGTATCATGTCATCATCCAACATGTACACATAGTCAGATTCCTCTGCTTGTAGAGCCATCTGAAATCGCCCGTAGTACTTGAAATCATATGTGGATCCCACAAAAGAGATCCGGGAGTCGTTGTACGTCTCCACAATGCGGCGTAGAGAATGCTCATTTGGGCTCCCGAACGCGAGGACCCAGATGTTGTGGAAGGGGAGAGTTTGGTCCAGCAGCGCATCCAACTGGGCGCACAGCGTCTTCCTCTGAAAATGATTGAGCACAACGGTGACTTTGGGCTTCACTCTTCCGGAACTCGTCGACGGAAGATTCATTAGCTCGTCAATCGTCTCACATCCTCTGGTCCGTTGCTGGAACTCGATAATCTCATTGTACAGGCCGGATTTCATCCCTATCATTTTCGAGTCATTCGATTTCTTCTGCTCGAAGGTGATCGTTTCTGTCTCACAGACCAAAGGTTTGCTGAGCATGGGGGATGCTTGTTGCTCGAGCTTGATGGAGGCAGGACCTCTTCCTCCATACGAACGAAAGGGAAGGTTGGCAATCTTCGCAAATTGAGTGACCCATGTAATGTCGGGTCGCGGGTTCAAGAGATCCACGGAGGGACTCATGAAGTACAGAAGGAATGTGGCATAAAGAGCGAAGGCAAACTGAAGGCACGTCAACCATGCTGCCACCTGCATACTCTTGCCACTCATTCCCTTGGCCCTCCTCGCTCCGGGAAACTCTCTGTAAATCATTTCTGCAGTGTCTCCATTTCGCGCAGCAGCTGGTCCCATTGGCTCAATCGACGAAGCTGTTCCACAATCTAATCTCTTGACGCAAATTGAGACGGAATTATGTCGATTGTTGTCCAGCTCTCTGCGCATCTTGAGCAACAATTGACGTCGTTCCCACTACTACTAGAGACCTGAGACTTCCCCGCACGATCGATGTCTCTAGACGCATGCTCGCAATCTCGCACTGTCCTCTCGGCCAAGACTTCCCACCCTTAAGTAACGGATGCGAAATTGAGTGTCAATGCTCTCGCGGCACTGGAGATCAGAATGTTGCACCATCGATCAGCAGCAGAATCATGCTCATTGCGGCTCCATGATTGGGCTCGCCGGCCTCGAACTTCATCGGACACATACACGTCCCAAAGCTGAAACCGACGCGCTAGCTCTCATCAGTGCGATCGTGCCCCAATTGAGGATTTCCCCCAAAACCCCTCTCGTCTGCTCCTCGCCTCAGGGCACGAAAAACGTAGCTCTCCCTCCCCGGCTCCCCGGCTCTCGGGCTCTCGGGCTCTCTTCCTCTCCCTCTCCCTCTGCCTCGCTCTCACTCCCTACACCATTCGCACATAGGCGAAGGTAAATTCACGCCGAGGCGATAATAATTCCCGAAATTACACAATCCCACGAAACAAGAATGCTCGATTACCCGCTCGTACTCGCGACTCTACTCGAGCGCATCGCCTTCTTCCCTACCTCTACTCCTCTTCCTCCTCCTCCTCATTGACTGGCCGTCGTCCGTTGCATACTTGCAAAACGTCGTCTCCTCCTTGCTCCTCCTCCTTCCTCCTTCCTCCTCCTCCTCCTCCTCCTCAGAGCTCCTCCTCTGGCTTTGCGAGTCCTCCCGTCGTCGCTGCTGCGGCCGCAGGTGCACGAGTTCGCAACCCCGAGGCGCTCTGCTCCAAGTCTCAGCCTCCGCCTCGCCGATGCGCGAACAAGGCGAAGAAGCAAGAGGAGTCGCGGCTCTCTCTGCTGCTGCTGCTGCTGCTGCTGCTTCTTCTGTCGTTGCATCTCCAGAGAAATGTGTCTGTATATGATGCATCGCTCTCTCGGGCCCCAATGTTCATCTGCGCCTCTCTCGTCAGCGCGATGTGCTCCCCTCCCCTTCCCTCCCCTTCCTTCGCTTTCCCTTCCTTTCGCTGCCCTGCCCTGCCCTGCCCTGCCCCTGCCTCCGTCCTCTCCCCTGTCCTGTTTCGGGATCTTTCTTTCCTCTCTCGTCCACCTCCTTCCTCCGCTGCCGGTCGTGCCCTCCTCCTCCTCCTCCCTCGCCAAGCCTCCGACATTCCCTTCGGCCGTCTCCGATCGCCCCCCGAGCCTGGCACCCGGACCGGGGCCGAGCCCCAGCCCCACACAGCGAACAGACATTCTGCGCGAGGCCGACCATGATCCCGACCGCCGACCGCCGACCGAAATCGGACCAGGCGGGAACGGGGACGGGCACGGGAACGGATGTCCGAGGTCGGGTTCGGGTTCGATACGGTATACTACGCCGTATAGGTATGCACACGTCTTCGCGTACTCTGTGTCATCTCGAGTCCCTTTATCATGGGGCCGGCTATGGCTACCACGGCCTGCGATTTTCGCTCTCTTCTGATGTCAACAGTTGGGTTCTTTTAAGGCGGAGAATCTGTATGATCATCGATTCAAATTACCGTTTATTTCTTCGGCAGGGCGGAGGAATTGCTTTCAGACTGTGTGCTGGCTGCTCTTCTCCGTTGTTATATTGTCACTTTCGGAGGAGTCAAGGAGGAAAGTGATGGCTCGATCGAGATTAGATTAATATTATTCTTTCGTTGATTTGACGCTGCTTTTCCTACGTTATTGCCTCGCTCCGTACGTGCTGTATACTTTCAGTGTATGTAGCCAATACATGGCTTGGCACAAGGTCGTAGAACCACGCATTTATGCTTTATTCACGTACAAGGGAGGCCAAGAAAGATCACAATCTTTCGGAGAGCGAAGAATCAAAGATATGGAGTATGACTTGTCTAGACGAAGATGGGTGGCTACCTCCAAAACTCCCGACTTGGGAATCCATATAAATATTCATATAGTCCATTTTTAATTATCGATATCTAATGGAGAATAACCCTCCAAATGGATTTTCCACGTAGATATTATTCTTTGCCAATGAAATTACAAGTTACATTCGGCCATGAACGACATAACTTACTCTCATCATTGGCTAGGTGATAAAATAGACATATACCAGATACACGCACGGAGTTTGAGTCGCTCAACTTATTGACTGTCATGATGGGTAGCAGCAGCTACGATGGACGGACTCACGAGGAACTACGTACTGGAATTGATGTGTCTCCCAGAGGGCCCTCTCGGTCTTCTGTACAAAAGGTCGACACAATCCATGGAATCATCACATTTTACTACGTCCATGATTTGACATGTCCCCCGTCCCCCGAAATTCCAGTGCAAGGAATGAAGGTACAAACCGTATGCCCTCCAGAGTTGGGGGTGTCCAGGAATGTAGGAACCGCTAAATTCGTAGTTAAGTGCATCTTTTTCTAATTTCTTCTTGTCCCCACCTCTTGCTAACCTGCGCAAATTCCTCGAATTCCACCGGTCCCAATAATTCTCTTGAGTCTTAGAAGAGGGTGTTGCTCTCCCGCCCAGAAAGGCATAGGCCCTGCCGTATGGTTACCATGAATGGATGCCATGGTCAACTGGGGCTTAAGACTTTGTACCGTATGCTGCTTTGGCAGCGAATAATGAGCGAGGCTAATGGCATGGAATTTGACTTTGAGCTTGAGCGTGTTGGAGGAGATGCCGCGAAGACCCAGTCCAAGGATGCTGCTTATTCTCCAGGTAGTGAGAACTACCATTAAGCTGCGTTCTTGCGGTCTAGCATGTTGTGCAAGTCAATACTTGAAGTTGTTGCCTAATAAATTTCCAAGCAAACAAACGTACACTTTTTTGCATCCCTGGGGAGCATGTTCCTTGAGTTTTTTATTCTTTGTCCCGGAAAGTTAAATTCTGTGTCCATTGAATAACTGAGATAGGTTGATTTGCTTTTTTTATTTCCATATATGTTATCATTTAGAATATTATCTCTGATAACTCATATAGACAAATAATCATGAAAACGTTACATGAATGATAAAACCTCGTGTAAGAACATGGAAAAAGAGTACGACTAGCCCTGCAAGTATGAAAGAAAACGTTGGCTGTTGACTTGGGATGAAAAAAAAAATTCATCACACACGTACAAACACTAGTTCAGATATTGATTTTGCAACATCATACTTAAAATAAAATATTTATATTTATACCATTTAAATTCTATAAGTTGAAAGATATTCAAATTTGTCTCGAAATTTCTTTAATTCTTTTATTAATTCACACTTTAAAAAATAATTGGAAATTCCTGAACAGTTTTTTTTTAACAGAATTAAAATCCAAATGCTACGGATTTTAAGAATATATATTTCTTTATTTCTTTATAAACAGGAAATACTAAATTACCTTTATTTTTTATTTTATTATAGTCACAACATATAACAGTAAGATCTATGAAACAAGCAGTTGCAGTAAAATCTTTGAATATGATTAGGCTTCATCCTTCTACAGGCTTCATGGGGTATTACCAAAGTCTTTTTTACCTTTCCCAATGTAATTTCTTCCACTAATTTCTAGCTATAAAGTATATAAACATTGTTTCTGCACAATAGTAGAACCGTACATAGTGGTTTGTCTTTCCCAGACATGCTGTTTCCATTATTTGGCCTTACATTCCATGATGATTTTTGGTCAAATTCTTTTCGTTTTAAGTGTTGTGGTTGACATCAAATTAATAAACATGGGATACCATGATAGTGTACGATTTCATCCTGCGACGATTATTTAGAAGTAATGGCGTCACGGCTTGGCTTTAAGCTGCCGGAACTACATTCATAACGTCAGCAAGACGTTTAAAGTGTCCAAAGGTGTCATCACTCCTGATTGGCTTAGAATCGATAAAGCATTGGCAGTAGTATAGAACGCAGTGTATCAAGCGGTCTTATACTGATACTAAATTGCGATACTGATACTAAATTGTATTTCTGTAGAATATGGTAACCATACCTACTAGGCATGTTGAATCGCATTTCATCCTATGTCCAATTATTCCTCTGGACCAATTGCAAGATTGATGATTTCATCACTACCAAAACCATTTCCAATTGAAAAAATCTCAGTTAGTTCTGAAAGTTTCACTGAAGAATTTTACAAGTTTAAGGAAATCATGTGCCTAACATTCCGTACATTTCCGGCACATGCGAGTACATGCTTGTGTAGATTCCGAGCCACAACGCCAGGCCGATTTGTTGCTAGGACTCGACCAAATAAGTTCATAGTCAATGCGTAGCAATGAAAAATCATTAAATCAATGAGATGATTTACTCACTCATTCGAGAATTCTAACAGGGCATATACCGATAATTGGGCAATTATCCGTATCTGCACTGAACATAGTTAATCTCCTCCGATCATATTCGTTGTTTGCCTGCGTAACTACTATGACATGTAAAAGTCTAGTTGGCTTTTGTGCGCCATGCAACACCTAGACACCTAATGTGGATTGTTAAGTTCAGTCTCATGTCGAATACGAAGGCAAACTTGTCATCCAGCGTGCCATATGCATCTGTCAAAACGCATAGTGAAAAAATCTAAAACTCACCAACTAAGGAAGAACATCATATTTTAGAGTCAGCAACAACCCTGTATCGACTAATCACATAAGAGCGTACCGTACAGCGAGGGCTAATTAGCCAAAACTGAGTGATACTTCATTTTAGATTCACAGAGTAACTCTAAAATGAAAGCAATCTTGAACCCCAATAAGGTACTTTTGATGGGCACAATTGTAGTCATCTACTAGTAGCAGATGACGAGTACCATCCGCTGCACAGCTAGAATTTAGAATCCACGAGCATATCCATCTTCTCGTGGATTATGTCATGTCTCCAATCCAACTCGTACACGGAATCTTGTACCGATTTGAGTACCTATACGATACAAGTACTCGAACAAGGCTAGCAGCATGAAGAAAATGCGTGGTCGGGTCCGGATGGGATGGGGATTCGTAGACCCACTCGTCCCATGAGCGAGTCCGGCATTTACGCGGTGACCGCAGGGCCTGCCCCACCTGGTCGGATGCGTCCATGGTACAAGAATGTTTGGGACCCGGCACTGAATGACCGGGCAGAGCAGAGCAGCCTTGTCTCTGGGCGGCGGACCCGGTCGCCACTCGAGCTCGGATCGTCGTATATCCCTCTCAAGGGTCGTCGCGTGGTGGAAGAGACACGCGGTTGCCATAGCATCTGATCCAACTGTAGGCCATATAGTACTGTCCTTCCAGATCGAGCCGTATTGAGTAGAACTCATAGCTGTACATATACATAGCAGACATCTGGTGGCCAAGTTCATGAATCAACAACCTTAAATTGTATCAATTAACATATATATATATATATATATATATAGAGCTTGAGGTGTGCTCCCCCCAGAACACACCTCAAGGTGCCAAAGACACAATGCAACACACCGGATGATTACTGACTTTGACAGTGGGAGTATCATGAGAATAGTTTTTTCTCTGGAGATTTCACTGTCAGTCGTGTTCGTGTTATTAGACTAGAAGCAAAGCAATTCTGGCCTTATGCTCGACGAGGTAACACCTATCACAAGTAGGGACTCGGAGTTGGTGTTACTGTTAACCATAGGCCCCAATTGGCCCGCACCAGGTCTGGGAGCTTCGTGTTTGTTTGTACGTTATCCGGTGGTAAGACTTTGCATGCACATTCGATGGGGCATTCTTGGATGAGTTGTCCATCCTTCTCACTGTTCTCGCCAAACAAGAAGTTGTACATGCATCCTGCGTACTCAAGTGAGTGCTGCTTGATACCTCGTGCACAACAAGCTTGTGCATGAAGATGTGGATGGCGGATGAGGAGGAGGAGGGGGAGCATCTCTACTCATGAACGAGCTGTACTTATGTCTTTTACAAACC